GACGCCAATACGAGTGTAAAAAAAAAAATCAATATTGCTAATTGTGAGTGTGTGTGTGTGTGTAATGTAATATACGAGAAAAAAACTGGTGTTTTTTTCCCCCAGGTAAACAGGAACGACTAATGACATTGGTGTCAGTGCGTTTGTTTAGTATACGGAGTTGACGTTGGTATCAAATTAATTGGAATAATTTCACCGGGGCAGACAATAATAATGAAAAGGTGGGCAACGAGCGACGAAGAGGTCACAGCCCCTCGCTCGCTTAACAACAACCGACGACGCTTTTCCCATTGCAATGTTTAGATAAACGTTGTGAAAATAAGGCCCGGCCGGTGCGAATTACACACACACACACCGTGTCCTAGCTGTGGGACAACACCGCCAATGGCCGACACCAGTGAATGTTTTAATATTATTCAATTTCAGTCCATCCCGACACCACGATAATACGCCTTTGTTGTTGTTTTAATTTTGTTTTTTGTATTGCCTGTATGATACACACATAATGTATGCTACTACTGTTTATACCAAATAACGAAAAATATAGGTATACATTACACGCCACTAATCGCTATGTAAACTATAAATATGTTGATAGTTTCATACCTGTTTGTTCGCTTTGAGTTCTGCTTTCGCGAAAAAAAACGACGGTAAATATTTAAATTCAACGCATTTGGTTCATCACGTTTGGAAACATCAACAATAATATTTTCAAACCGCAAATTAAAAAATATACTGTATACCGCAAGACTTATAAAAAAAACCACTTTTAACGAAAAGAAACCGACATTTATTAACATATTTTTTACACTATGGCACTTTTTGTCAACCACGTATTATATTATTTTAAATATAAAATTAAACAACGTTAAAGGCTAATTGTTTCCCAAATTTAGGCTTTGATTCTTATACAGTACGCATGTAATAAAAACATGTATTTTAATGTTAAAGTCTGTTTAAAAATTAAATTTGCTATGGTAGCTGATACTGTATTGCTAAATATTACAATTTAACTGGCATATCAATTAGCGTCAACGGCGCATGGCAATTACTGCGTCCAGAAAAATAATACAGAAGAATAAATGAAATACAATTGCTTTAATTCAACATGGGGTTTCAATTTTACGGTTAATTCCGAGAGTTAATTTCGTTTTTGAAAATGACAAACGATGCGGCGGTTTTAAATGAATGCACGAAATTACTGCAGTATACGTGCGCACTCGAATGCAGAGGCGGAAAGGAATAAGAAAAAAAACCCTAAGCAATCAATTAATTTCCAAACGGTCGACTAACCACTTTGACCGTAACCAACTAGCAAAATGGCAAACATTCAAATGGGTTACACTCGGGGAGGAAGAAAAGGAGCGACGGTGCTTTTCATTTGATTTGCATATTTCGAATAAACCGAATCCAGAATTGTATAATACTGGAGAAAAAAGGGATGCTTTCAGTAGAAGCTAGTAAATAAGCGCCGGTTCGTTATGAAATCGGGTAGATCGTTGAAATCCTGTGGGTCAAGGAAGAGTAAAACTGTCGAGCGGAAAAATGAATAATGCATGGGCGGTAAGATTTTCCAGATTTATACGTTTTTTATACAGAATTATATTAAGGAGAAAATATTTTGCCTGTATCTAGTGATTAATTGGCAAAACCATTTATATAGTAGTCACACGACGACGACCCGACAGCATGGCACATTTATCTATCTATCTATCTACGATGTACATAGATAGCGTTATCAACGTGGAAAACATGGACGACACGAACGCAATAATTTTATGTCGGTTATGTTTCCCCAATTATTAGACAGCATATGGGGGTTTATTCTAAGAGAATGTATACAATATACATAGTACAAAATATAATATACATAAATATGTTTATACGTTTATATATTCATTTAACATGCAAAATATATATTACCAAATCTGTGAAGCGTTGGATCTAAACGTAGCATTTATACTTATGTGGTCGGTTGATTAGAAAAATTTGCGGATAAAAAATAAAACAACGCATATTTTATTTCTCAGAACGGATATGAAACATTGAGATATATTTCTAAGTACTCAACCAACCGCACTCCACCTTCCGTCCAAAATTTTAAATTCTAATTCCTTTAAAAGTAATTATTCGAAACCAATTAACTAGTTATCGACCAGTCAACATCTCAAGCAAATTATTCTTATTTTAATACATTCATATTAATATTATACATAATGAATTATATAAATAGTTTTATTAGTCCTGTTCATGTTTTTATTATACCTATTTATTGAGTAATAAAAAGTAATACATCTAGTGCAGTGTCGCGGTGAAATCATTAAATGAACCTTATGAAAAAGCATTCAAATATTCACAACATCAAAAAATAATATATTTTAAATATCATTCCACGCATAGTTAGTGTAGAAACGCTTGAAAAAAATTATGAATATTTTACACCTTACGAGTAATTGAAAAATTATTCAAAAACCAACTCGAAACTCAATAAAAAAAGCGTACTTCTCGTTAAGTAAATCGTTCTAACTGCAAATACCCGAAATACTTTCAACAAATTTGGCCCAACATCATTTGTTCGTATGTAAAGTAGTTTTAGTACAAAGTATTAAACAAAATATAACGCGTTACCATTTCAAATTTAGTATGGAACAGTCCATTGTACGTCGATTGTGTATGTGCTAATAACATAAGGTAATAACATATTAAAGAAGTTTCTTGTTTTTAATAATATTGAATTAATTCATGATGTAAGTTATTGCAAAAAGTTCAATTATATATGTACTGATTTTATTGATACATTGTTGATGCGTTTTACAACGGTTTGCTACATGCAATAACAATGTATACGCAGACTTATTTACCTTAATTCACGTGAGAAATATTATATTGTATTATATTACTATTGGTATAAGTTATTCGTTTAACCTTGTACGGCAAATGACGACATCGTTTTATGTAATGTATATCAAATGTTTAAAAAAAATTGGTGAAGAGCAATGGCGATAGTCACTCGGTCAACTGCGAACAATTGTGTTAAAAACAATTATGATGCTTTTAATTTTAAACTCGGATAAATGATCGCCACCTAAACGTAAACCCTGGCAATATTATTAGTTATTTAAACACAGCGCAGTTTGATAGATAGAAATAATGAAAACTTTTTTATCGCGACACCCAGAGGATAAAAACCCAAGACGTTCTCCCATGACCCACGAACCAGTATTGGTTCGTGGGTCGAAACCGTGCCTTATCAGTGCATGCGATCACTCAACTCTCACTGGATTTAAGATTGATTTTTTACGAAATCTCTGAAAAACCGAATTCAGTAAATTACTTGAGTACAAATCGTCTTGTGCACGGCTCAGCTTACTTATATTACTACTATTTATTTCTACAATCTTATCTCGGAGATTTTTTTCATTTAATTTCATAAATATTTGTGTTCTAAAATGGAAGTTGCCCGTGGACAATTTAAATTATTACAATTAATAAAAAAAAACTTTTTACGTTTTGTTTTACAGGTAAAACAAAAAAATAATGATTATAAATAAACAGAGATACCAGTTATGTTTATCTGTAATTTCCAATGAAAATGTATTATTTAAATTAAACAGTTTTCCATGATATTATTTCAGTACATTAATTATTTTTCCAATTTCATAACAAATGAATAAATCAAGTGACACAAATATTAAGTACAGCAATACCGTTGAACTAAAACAATATGGCTTTTGGGGATTCGCGGGCCTGTGACAAAAATGTTTTTTTTTATCTATAGAGGACAGATTATAAATGTAATATAGTTTATTAAAACGACTAGGTCGATAAAGTTAGTAGACTCATTTTATTTAGTGGTATGATAATGTTTGCTTTTAAAAGCATTGTGTATAAAGCACTATATATACCAACAGTAAAATATAATGATAATATTTCATGTTTATATTAAAGTATGACCTTAAGTGATAATCAGTACTAAAACGTTGTACTACATTGGCTTGAGCTTTTAAAATATTTTATCTAATATTTTGTCTCCTAATAAAGACCCTACTGGTCGCTTTACAACTATGAGAACAACAAAATAGCGGACAACTTTTTGTAAAATGGTCACGTTTGTCGCAAATGTCCATTAAATTATTCAACCTGGAAGAAATCAAATATTTAACTTATAAAGGATGTACAACTATTTGAAGATGAATTACTTGTATGGGTAAAATATTATAATGTAATTGAAATTATAATATTTAAAGGCATGTTTTATTGCACGTTTTTATTGAGTTCAATTTTTACGGCCTATAATAAAAAAATAAATTACACAATCCGTAGACGACACATACAATGATCCAATCTAAACGTCTTTTACAAACTAATTAAGTTTTAGTCATCTCATCGCGTGTAAACGATGCCCACGATTTACCAGTATAACAGGCGGTAATGATCGAGTACAAAAGATTATCAAGAAATAATTGATATGACTATAATAATAGTAGTATAATAATTTAATAGTAATTAAGCAAGTCTACGCAAAAAAATATCTATTTAATAACGTTTGTAAACGTTTCTCGGGTCTACAGTATTTATCCTTCAGAATGCTATTAAAAAAAAACAGTTATTGTATTTTAATTTGAAGGTAAACTACGAGTAAAAAATATTGTGAAGAAACTATTTTAAATACATATTAAAGCTTTGTTACATAGATTTTTTGTTTGCGATATATTTCATCTAACGTTCCTATAATAATATTAGTAATTAACTAAATTCTTTGGATTGCTGACTAAAGTTTTAGAAGAAAAAACACAACGGGTATTTCTATCAAAATAAATAAATAATATTCATAACGCTTTGAGCAACTGGCAAATTTTGTAGTCAAAGTTAAATTTATATTGTTACTAGGTATACAAATAAAGTTAATTATAAAATTGACAGGATTATTTCGGCGTTAAATACTATAAAAGCGTCATGCGTAAGCCGTAATACGGTAATAATAGAAATTAAGTGCTTACCGTGTAGATGTGCTAGAGAATGCAAGGTGTTCGAGTTGATGAAACCTGAAAATAATACGATAACGATTAGTATTTAATACATATTTAATTAATCCTATTTTAATACTTAGAATTAATTTTAACATATGTTGTTATTCGTTAAGAACAAATACAACGAGTTTGACAATTGGCATACAGTTTTATTACAAAACATGTAGTTATTAAAAAAAAATGTGTAGAATGCAAGGTATATACACAAAAAAAATGTAAGGTGGTTATAAAGGGTGTCTCAAAAAGAACGCCGGATTTAAATCTGCTATAAATTAAATTTATTTCTCTTAAAAAAACATAACAAATATATTATTCTCTTCAGGAGAAGTTTAGGTTTAACAGTGAAAAACAATATCGGGCATATGACCGGGGGGGGGGGGGTCATATAGGGGGGGGCCCCCTACTAGCCCTACAGGCGGTTATTCTTTACATAAAATTTATCATTACTCGATCACACATTGCCCCATCAAGTTCGTTGAGAACACGACGAATTTCTTGCTTAAGTTTCAAGACATTTCGGATTTTGTTCTGGTAAACTCGTGACTCAGTGTATCCCCATAAGAAAAAAATCACGCGGCGTCAAGTCGCAGGATCGAGGTGGGTAGCTTTGGTGTCCACGCAACGAAATTAGTCTGTCCGGGAACTTCTCACGCAGCAGAACGATTGTTTCTCTTGAAGTGTGACAAGTTGCGCCGTCTTCTTGAAACCATACATTTTCGACGTTCATTTGGTCCAAACGAGGCCAAAGAAAATTACTGAGCATAGCACGGTAACGAACAAAGTCCGAAATATCTTGGAACTTAAGCAAGAAATTCGTCGTGTCCACAACGAATTTGATGGGGCAATGTGTGATCGAGTGATGGTAAATTGTATGGAAAAAAAATCGCCTGTAGGTCATATGGCCGATATTTTTTTTCACTATTAAACCTAAACTTCTCCTGAAGAGAATGATATATTTGTTATGTTTTTTAAGAAAAAAAAATTCAATTTATAGCAGATTTAAATCCGGCGTTCTTTTTGAGACACCCTTTATATTATGTTTAAGTAAAGGTAATTGTATTATTAAAAATAATTTTAATAGGTAATTTATATTATAAAGCCTTATATTGTATTATATTACTTTATAGTAATTGATGACCTGAATTTAAACAAAAATTAAGTCAGCCGTAAAAAAACAAAATTCAATGACTATTTTCACTAAAAAAAAATAGGTTCCAATTATTTTTTTATCTATATAATATAAATTAAGTTAAATTTAAATCTTGTTTTTCTTTAGCGAGTTAAGGCTTGTCTACCAAATCAAGTTTTGTCAGAACAAGAAAAAAGCGAGAAACGCAGCGATCTTGATCTAGTTTTTGGAATCAAAATAGGTACTGACTTGGAGAGCGTTTATGTGCAAAAATATGTCTTTAAAACGAAACAATATTATATGTGTACACTATGAAACGAGTCGGAATTTTTGTGTAGCTTCGAAAAACAAAATAATTAAAATTAATATAAATTATATTGCATTTATTCAAGACTACGATACGTGTGAAATAATTTTAGATTTCATCAATTAATTAAGGCAACGCGAACAAAGTATTTAAATTTGCTTATTTAAGCGCATTCGTCTGGTGTTGTTTGTAATTACACTATGTAGTTCAGAGAAAAAATAATTTAATAAACACTAGCGCAAACAAAAACTCAAAATATAAAAACTTGTACAAGAGGAAACTAGAAATCAACAAAACATCTGATCGCCACAAGATTGTCAAGTTGCTGGTTAAAGACATTGAACGAAAACGTAGTATGTTGTCTGATGTAACTATTAAAAATCACTGATTCGTTTCAGATATGTCACAGAGAAAGTTTTCTAACGCTTTATACGGACGACGTCGTGTGACATGTTTTTTGTTTGATTGGAAACAATGATGACGGCTAAGTTTCTAAGAAGACTATTTACAAAATAAATCTATCTAAATGTCCGAAGAACATAGTCGGAAAAGCTGTCATTCAATTATTTTTGTTACTAGAAAAAAAAATCGCACCACAGTTAAGAATAATTATGCAATAAACGCTATGCGCAATTTGGCCACTTTAATATTAATTTTTTTTTAGTTATCTTGCCATGCATCACAAACGTTTGCGCGTGCACAACGATAACATATGAGGTGCAGTGCATCAGTAATTTTTGTTAGTAGCGTTTCGGTTTTGAATACCTACAATAATAATGGTGGCGGATGATACATGTGCATTGGACGCGAATAAGCCTGCTTATGAAGCACTTTATCTGTATGTATTGTAATACATGAAATACACTCAAGTGCGTCTTTCATCATAGCTTTTAGTTATGTTACATTACTATGTTGTAAAAGCATGTTAAAAGCATTTTCAATGGGTCGTTTGTATCGGCACAATAATACCGCCATTAGCATCTAAGACCCTGGGCTTCTGTCTGTTGCCTCAATCATACACGGTACATTTGATCGCTAGATAGATGCGATGATGATGAACTGAATTCGAAAAGGCTTTATATCCATTTCCTTTTATTATTAACACTATTCAATATTTCTTTTCGCTCATCCTTCCGGTGTACAGCGCATTATCATAATATTATTATGAACCGTAACTAGGTATGTTTTATTTTTCGTTTTCTAACAGAAAATAATGATAATTGATTATAACTGCTAAAAAATATCCCATTAACGATTCGAAAGAAGCCGAACCGATCTTTGATAAAATATTATCTAACCATCGGGTTTTCATGTTAAACACTTGTTATCTGGGTGAAGGTGATTAATACACAACTGACAACACACATACAATTCAACGTCAGCGGCGCCGGTGCGTTAAATTAACGAGTTATTTACGATAATTGCGCTGTAATGTAATCTGACACACTATCATTTACCCAACAGTTTGAACGGGCACACCGCAATGTGTATAATATTCTATTTCAATGGCATAAGTGTTTTAATCGTAATCTTGTTAACAAAATTGTTATTTTACGAACTTTTATAGACATTACAAGCGTTTAGTGATATACTACTATTAGATATGACATATCCTAATTATTATTATGATATATGGTATCTAATTTGATGTGTATAGTAATTAATGTGTCAAATTTCTATTAACAATTAATTGTTACTTGATAAACACAGGATTACCGTTCGCTGTAAACGATAAAAAAACTTTTGGAATTATTGTGAAAGCATAGGCAAACCGCCGACGGCCATTCGAATATCGAGATAAACCATAGAATTAGGCGTCGAGTAAACATCAGTGTGTTTCCATTGTTTTTAATTTTTTGGACATAAATAATATTCTATTTCAAAATGTACAAAATGATTGTTATACTCGGGCATGCGAACAATAACAGTAAATATATGTACATAGGAGTAGGTACAAATAGAAGACCTCGGCACGACAATATACCGTGACAATTACGGATAATGATAATTAATTGGTAGTGTATGCGCGACGACGACGGTATTCAATCAGCGGTATTAAATTTGAAACGCTTAAAAGACCAAAATTAAAAAAAGAAAAAAAATAGAAATTGAGATACTCTCAAGTACTATTAGGTAACGTTGGCGATAATGTCTTGTGCGAGTGTATGCGAGAGAATATTATACCTTCAATTTCACTTGCATAACGTTATGACGTGCACGGTTGACCTTGCATCATACCCATGCCCTTGGCCGCTACTCCGCAATCAACGGTTTCGGATTTTTGCGCTTTAAACAAACGTCGAATGCGACACAGTACGTTAAAAAAATTTTAAGTAAACCGTACATTATACGACACAACATGTTATATTATTATTAAGCCAACTCGTCACGTGTTAACGCGTGAGCATGAAAAATGTCCATTGTATTCATTTGGACCACAATAATAGGCAGCAGTGTGTTTTTCCGGCATTCAGTATATTATGTTGTTTTTCAATTAAGAAGGAAAATAATTTGACACGAGTTATAGGAGATCCAAGTAGGTTAAATTTTGCAAAACCTATCTGCACCCAGCCAATGTTTGATAGATTTATAGAGTAAGCAACAATACCCCATTGATACTAGGTAGAAAGACAGTTAACTGCATTATTCCACTGGAAAAATAATGACTTTTTGTTAAATTGTTGTTAGTTTGTTCGAGTTTTTTATCATACTAAATTAGATAAAAAATCGATTGATGAAAAATAGGGTTGAGGTGTAATCTTAGTACAAAATAATACAAAGTTTTGAAAAATAAATGTACAAGCCAAGAAAACATTTTTTACCGACTTATTTTCAATGTAAATATTATATATGTTAATTACTCCAACAAATGTCAACACAGTACTTTTTTTTTTATGAAAATTGATTCTTAAATCTCATTAATTCCGCTAACAGTACATAATAAAACTTTTTATAGTTAACATTGATGGCTGATGAGAAACGTTGAGGCCATCCGCCATACCGTACCACGGACGGACGTTTATTTTGAAAAACGGCGGATACACGTGACAAATCTGGCATAAAATTATAGATTTTTCCGATGCACAAAAACTATGCACGCGAGTCTATTATTTCAAAACGCATTCGTCTCCATCGGAATACGTTGCGTGTTGTTAATATAAATTAAAAAATGGTTCAATGTGTCAAACAGATAATACTGTCAAGACAGATATATGTATACAAAATAATATACCATACGTTACTCTGTAAACATAGACAGATATACACACAAAAGATAACAGTATAATGTATTACAATACGAGTAATTAATGTTTCCTCGGATATCTATAAGACACACTATAAACTCTTCAGGCCGTCACGACCGGGGTCCACTTTGTCGACAAAATGAATATTTTAGGATTTATAAATACAAGCATATTCAAAAACAGGTATTACGGATCCCTGTGTTCCAATTTGATTTTTTATGGTAATATTTAAACTGAAGATATAAATTATCCGAGCACTTCACCGAATAATAGCGACTCTAGTCTCTACGCATAAATTGTTACAGTTAATGATCCGGGGAAAAATTAAAATACA